TTGAACAGTTTTGTCCCTCAGTTTATTTAGATTAACCTCATTGGCAAACGCCCTACGAAACTGTTACAATTCAATACATTGATGTGAGTACAGTTTGCATTGCAAGTAGAATATTGCTTCATTCATGTTTTAAAACTAGTTGAATGTCCTTAGTATTTTGTCATAGTCCTTCACGTGTTATGGCACGACTTTCAGGAAATATTCCACGCAGAAATGACCCTTCGCTGGATAATAAGCACCTTCAATCGATTGCCAACCCCAAAGATAAATTGAAAATGAAATATAAAACAGTCACTCATTTTCCCGTACATAGAGCGATGTCTTAGTGGTTGGCTGCGATATCAGAATCACTGCATTAAATTCTTACCGGAGAGAAAGACTTGGGTTGAAGCTAGAAAAGTATGTAACGCGTTCGGAGGAGATCTCGTCATTATAAGGGATGCAAACAAACAGTCGTTTGTTTACGATAATCTTGCTGTTGGGAAAACTCTCTGGATCGGCCTCAGAAGAGACGATAAGTATGATAGTAAACTTCATGTTAAACTAATCTATGTACTCTTTTAAAGTACGTTTTTGAATAGTCAGTTCAAATACTTCAGAACTTCCTTAATATATTATAATAAGGTAAAACTATCCAAGTTTACGGATGTAACCACACCGTACAAATGGTTTCCAGAGGGTACGCACGCCTAATACAAAACCAAGAGAGGATGAAATGGTAGATTGAGTTAATCCCCTTTTTAGATCTTTTTCCCGGGTAGGCACTTTCAAGTTACCCTTTCAAGGCCTGGGCAGGCCCTTTCAAGCTTACGTGATGGATGAAGCAACGTGTAAGGCGATTGAGCCGTCCTCGTGAGTAAAATTCGCTTCACAGATTGACTATTTTTCGAACTCCCTGGAATTTCAGAAAGATTAGTCTGGGAATAAGGTCTGTATTGTAGCTTAAATCTCTTGCCTCTCTTGATCATCTATTAGGTCTAACTCAAGAGTTAATAACTTGGCCATCGCCTTTATCTAAAGAATCAACCAACAACCAACATGGCCGACGAAGAGAAGTGCACTCTGACTAAACTAATGGTGCATAAGAATCATTAAATTTGTTTTCTTTCTTTCATTTTGTCTCTTTTTTGTTTGGATTCGTACCTATCTCAACCATTTAGCAACGTGTTTCACTGGGTGGATGGATCAAAAGTTCAATTCAAGAACTGGGNATTGAGTTAATCCCCTTTTTAGATCTTTTTCCCGGGTAGGCACTTTCAAGTTACCCTTTCAAGGCCTGGGTAGGCCCTTTCAAGTTTACGTGATGGATGAAGCTACGTGTAAGGCGATTGAGCCGTCCACGTGAGTAAACTTCGCTTCACAGGTTTGACTATTTTTCGAACTCCCTGGAATTTCAGAAAGATTAGCCTGGGAATAAGGTCTGTATTGTAGCTTAAATCTCTTGCCACTTAGCCTCTCTCGATCATCTATTAGGTCTAACTCAAGAGTTAATAACTTAGCCATCGCCTTTATATAAAGAATCAACCAACAACCAGCATGGCCGACGAAGAGGAATGCACTCTGACTAAACTAATGGCGCATAAGAATCATTAAATTTGTTTTCTTTCTTTCATTTTATCTCTTTTTCGCTTGAATTCGTACCTATCTCAACCATTTAGAGACGTGTTTCACTGGGTGGATGGATCAAAAGTTCAATTCAAGAACTGGGTTACTGGAGCTCCCGACAGCCTGAGCGAAAAGTGTGGAGAGATGACAGATTATGGTTCATTTCGAGGAAAGTGGAACGACAAGCATTGTTCATCATCACAATCATTTATCTGCGAGATAGGTTCGCCATGAAATCCTTTTGGTCTTGTTTACTTTTTATTCCTATACGATTACAAAATCGTCGAAGCCACGACACGTTGACTGATATCTATTATGCCGTTTGTTAGAACATTTTCTGTTAATTTAGCCCACTGCCAAACTTACGGACTGGCTAAGAGTCTGGGATCGGTAACTCTGCCAATCGAGTACTGAACTGATGGTCTGGATGGGGTGCTAGAATCTCTGTCTGATCAAAAATTGTCAGCCCATTTCTTAACTATCAGTGTTAGTTATTTTGCATGTCAGGTCTCTGATGTCAGCGAAAAAAAAAAAGGTGGGGGTGGGGTGGGGGGAACATTTTTCAGATGAAAGTTAATTAAAACTGTATGTCCAATTGTGAGCTATCATTTTTAAGTCCATTCGCCGATTCTACATATAAGTTGTAATTATCTCTTGTTCTTCCGGATTACTTTGCAGGCATGACTCTCAGCAACATTTTCAAAATTTTCCCGGAGAAAATACTGGCTGGTCACGTGATAAATCGTTTTAGAGCGACGAGTGACGTTGAGTGCTTGCTGCGATGTCAAAGATATCCCGGATGTA